GATAACATTATTATTCTCCAAGCTTTAATTGTTACCAAGAGTTGCATATTGTTAAATGATATCATACCCCTCCAGACCTCCTTTTCATTTATCCAAGCCTAGGAGTCAGCTCATGTTTTTCATTAAGCTTCTTGCAGTCACACGGTTAAGTCATTTACACGACAAGTGGATCCCACACGCAGTAGACAGACTGACAGATTTAAAGCAGTAAAACACCATATCAGATCAGACTGTGTTTTGGTCTGGTCCACATCACAACAAACATTTGAGAAGTCAAGTATATCAAGAAAAACATTTAAAACTGTTGCACTCAGATTGTGATCCCTCCTATCATCTGCAGGCTACTGATTTCAGAGTATTTCAACAGTTATATGGGTTTCACAGATAACAGAGTCAGTGGGTTCTGCTTGAACTCCCAGTAGTTTGAGTTTCTTAATTGTTTATCTATTTTCACTTTGTGCTCTCACATTTGACCTTCACACGTGATCTTTTTGTTGAAGTTAAACTAACTCAAAAGTGTCCAGGGACCAAAAGGAAACTGTTTTTGCTTTAAAGGACTTGTGGTCTTGTGCACAGACTGTGGTTGTCCCTGATGTTTGCGATGTGTAGGCTGATAAGGTCCATTCATGTGGACCAGGTGGAACAGGATGCAGAGATGCAGGCACGCTACCTCCTCTGTGCCCCTGTGATGGGGTGATAGGCAGTTACACTCATGCTGGTGCAAGTCTGTAATCCCAAAGCAAAGTAACACAGAGAAGTCCTTTCTTTTCCTCAGAGGTGGATGGGCTTTGAGGAGCTGAGGACCACACTCTGCTCAGGAGTAGAGAGCTTTCCATTCCAACAATCAACAAAGTAAAAAAAAAAAATGCATGTGTATTGTGCATCCCACTTTTTGATTCGGTCCTCTGTATATAGTCTGTGCATTATGATAAAAATATCTACTTCAAGTTTGTTGTGCTGTTTGCTATTTTGAGAGCGATTACTAAAGCAGCAATTGTTCTACACGTTTCTTTTTCTTTCTTTTTTTGTTTTGTTTTACAATTTCTGGGTTTCAGATAACATCGCAACATCCCAACATTCTTCAGCTGTGTATGTGTATCTCAAAGAAATGGGGGTGGGTAATATAATTGTTGTTAAAATGCATATTCTTTATGTAATATGAAATATTAAATTCAAGGGTCTAGTTAATTAAGTAAATGATCAGGTTATATTTTTTGTGGACTTGAATATATTTCTTTCTTTATATTTTCTTCCTATCAGGGAGTATGACATCATGTTCTTTAAACTGAAAGCCACCAAATTTGTGGCACAGTATTTTAAGATTTTTATTCTTTTTCATTAAAATATCAATGTGGCCTTGATGTAGGAAATGTGCATTTTACTTAATAAGCAGTACATCACCTCCACTGAATAATACATGTTATGGTCCAAAACAAATGAAATCACTTTAGATACTTAATATTATTGCATTAAAAGTAATCATTCAAAACAACTGTGTGTCTCTCTGAAGTCCCAATTTGATTGCATTAGACGGAGTATGATATAAATACAAAAAATAACTAATTACATGAAATGTTTTTCAAAAAGTGTTTGTGCATCAACAAAAATGTGTTGAATTTTTTTCATTTATTTGATGTATTTCTGGGAAATCTAAAGACTCACCCAGACACAAAACAAAGGGCTCTTGTGCAGTTTGTAACAGCCTAATTAAAATACTGAATTCAGACTAAAATTAGATGTAAGATTCTCTCCATGCCATAACTTTGATATTCTATATTTATAAGATACATTATTGCATAGTGCCTTAACACAGCAGAGACTGTTTTAGACACCTAACAACTAACAATAACTGCTTACAATAACAGGTCTAATTGCAGTAATAGCTGTGTGGGTCATTATTGACCTTTGTCCCTTTTAAACTGTTGTTGTACAATTTGTGTGTCATTGAATGTGTGACAGTGACAGACTGACAGCTGCCATTACACAGATCACACGTTCTGACCAATTAAGAAGCATCCTGGTGCCTTCATTGCACACATCAGGCTAGACTAATAGCCCATAGGATTTAGACCTACTGTTTAACGCCATGAAGAAACCACACATGTAGCTTTAGTCCCAGAGGAGGCGCGGCTAAAAAGGTCTGAAAAATGTGAATTTATGATCCACCCACTAGGCACATCTTAAGGCACACTCGCTGCCAAACAGAGCAGAGGAGCGCTAGAGAATCTGACTTTCCTTGAACGCAACTTTTGGGGAGCTTTTACGTACTCTGGAATATAGAAATGCGCTGGAAAAACGAAGTGAAAGTTGAATGTTGCACTGTTAGCCCGAATGAAAACGAGACTATTTTGTCCACCGAGGAGGTAAGACTTTCCCATGAGCGCCGGTCAGTATGTCTAGATCTTTAATATAGCCAAAAGGGAAATTGTCCTGCCAATAAAAATCAGGGTGGCTGCGTGTCATTAACCGGCCTCGCGCAACCTGACTTCTCGGTATTTTCACAATTTGAAGCAATGCACTCCCCCTTGGATTCTGCAATTAAAACTCAAGTAGTTAATAAGACCTCTTCACCTTTTGCTTTGCCCCGGGAAGACGTTTGTGGCGAACTTAGCCCTTTTAATTGGTGTTATTAAATAAATCAATGCCTTTTTTCCCAGAGACGTCGCGCTGCGTTTGATTGACAGGTGAAATTGGCGTGTTGCTGAATCACACAACTCGAGGACATAATGCACATAGGATAAGTATGAGTTCAAGTGTTGTCTGTTTGTGTACGTAATGACTACTTCTCTTTTAAATGTCATTTTGGTAATCGCCGGCGTTGTCATGGTGAAAAGTGAAAGGCATGATATTTATGGGACGGAGCAGGGGGCATTTAAGGCGGCTGCGACAGTCTGACCCACCGACCGTCATGTGCGAGGACTGCAAAGGCGGAGAGGACCTGCTGGCCAAGTGCGCAGAAGAGGGAGACATCATGGTACGCGCTCAAAACGGACTAAACTTTTATAACCTTATCGACAAAGAATAACAAGTTATTTGGCTTTTTTTTTTTTTTTTTTTTTTTTTTTGGTGGGGGGGTGTTTAACTTTTTTTTTCTTTTTTTTTTCGGACAAAAGATGTCGGCATAAGTTTTCTTCAAAGGCTCTTGTTTTGCCACAAACATCATCTCGGGCGCTGCATTTCATATTATTTAGGGTCAATTTATTTGTAGTACTTTTCAGCTACTACAAAGTTTCCATTTCCCCCATACTATAGGCCTTTTTTTGTTTTGCTTCTTCTGGCAACTTCCAATTGAATGTCAATGTCATTCAATAGGCTAAACGCGGGTATTCCTACCATTTAACCAAATGAGCTTCAAAAGCATTAAATCAGGCCTGTTGAATTTAATGAAAATGTCTGGCTCTTAATATGCAGATTTTAGAGTTTGGAGTGATATTGGGTGCTTGGCTCTGACCACAGCTCTCCTTCTCAGGGCGCTCCTCTGGAAGTTTTGGATGAAGACGCGTCATCCCTTCAGGCCATGACTTCTGCTCCTCTGTTGGGCAGGACCGTGTGCGCGAGCTGTAACGAAGAAATAGTGGATAAATATTTGCTCAAGGTAAATGCGTTTAGTTTCTTTCTTCTGATGATTTTTTTTTTTGAAATTGTAAAGACACTCTGAGATGCCAGTTACTCACCTTCTTGTGGTCTCTTCGTCTTGGCTGTAGGTGAACGACTTGTGCTGGCACGTGCGCTGTCTCTCGTGCAGCGTGTGCCAAACTTCACTTGGCAGCCACAGCAGCTGCTACATCAAAGAGAAAGAGGTCTTCTGTAAACTGGATTACTTCAGGTACGCGCACAATGATCACGGAACAAGTGGATACAATTTAGAGAAACAATAACTAGGCTATGTCTTCTTCTTCTTCTTCTTCGTATTATTATTATTATTATTATTATTATTACTATTACTACTACTACTACTACTACTACGATTAGATTATTATTATTATTGTTATTATTATTATTATTATTATTATTAGTCAATGTAGCACCGCTTATTCAGCGCTTTATATTACAATTCATTACGCATTCCTAGAATCTCACTCAAAATCTGAGTCAAAGTACGAGATTAAAACAAACAAACAAACAAACATTAGCCGATAGAAAAAAATTAACTTTTTTTATTGTTACGTGCAGAAGGTACGGCACTTGGTGCGCGTGCTGCGGCCGGAATATCCATGCCACTGACTGGGTCCGTCGCGCCAAGGGCAACGTGTACCACCTGGCGTGTTTTTGCGTGTTTTTCCTGTAAAAGACAACTGTCCACGGGAGAGGAGTTTGCGCTCGTGGAGGAAAAGGTGCTCTGTCGCGTGCACTATGACTGCATGTTGGATAACCTCAAGCGCGCCGTGGAGAAAGGTGAAACTACCGAGGACCCCTGAATGCATCAGCATTTAGGAAAAAAATCTACCTGACAAAATATGTAGCCTACTAAGAACGCTGGCTAAACATCTCCAATGAAATTAATTAACAACTGAGAAATAGTTTAATTTTAAAGTTAACCTAGGCCTCAGTAGATTTTAGTCTGCAACAAGGGCCATAGCACTAAAAAGGCCTCAAGTCAATGTTACGATATCATTAAATATTCCAACAAAATTATAAGAATTTGAATTTTGTTCACTGACAATAAACAATGAAACTATTCTGATCAAATATTTTTTGTTTTTCACAGGAAGCAGTGTGAACATGGAGGGAGCAGTGCCGACTGAACAAGAGCTAAACCAACCCAAACCCTCAAAAAGGGCTCGCACAAGCTTCACTGCAGACCAGCTGCAGGTAAACACACCATCAGAATAATTCAACAACAGCATCCTTGTAATGTAACATATACCATAAAAATTTTGGTAATATTAAAGGTTAAATTCTATAAATTTAATTTTCCTATTTTTAAAATGTAGTATGTAAAAGTAGACTTTGTTGAGAGTAGAAAGATCCTTTGCACTTCCAGATGTGTATCTGATATTTGTATGTGATATCTGTGTGCAGGTGATGCAGGCCCAGTTTGCTCAGGACAACAACCCAGATGCTCAGACGCTGCAGAAGCTGGCGGAGCAGACCGGCCTCAGCAGAAGAGTCATACAGGTCAGCACACACTTTCATTCTTTATTTATCAGAGAATCTGTATTAATTTAAAACATGGAACATTACATAAGAAGGGTGTAAAATTGTTTGCAGACAATTAATAGTTATTATGACAATTACTTATTTAATAAAACAAGTTCATATTAAAAAATTGGCTCTTTGTAAAACATCAGCTCTTTGTGTACTCCAAGAAAGAACTACAAGAAAGTCTCATTTATGTCTAAAGTCTTATAACATAGTTTTTAAGAGAATGTCTATGATTGATGGGATGATCTTTTGTTCACCAAGAGCCCATATTATAAGAGCCTAGGTTCTCGGTATATCTAGCATCAACCTGGCCACTTCTTTCACAGTCTCTCATTGGTTTCCCCAGAATTGTCGAAGGGCGGCGGCCACGCCTACCTAACGTAGGAATCTGCATTGTTCAATAAAAAGCCCCGGTTGTACTGTTTTGATCTCCTACTTCCGGCTACTGAAGGTAGCCGTTTACTTGAAAACTACCACTACATGACATCACAAGGGTGAAACAGAGCAATTTTGAGCTTTGGAGACAAATTAATAATAAAAGGTTACTCAAATATTTGCGAATGAAACAAAACATGACTGCAGGTCTCTTTTTGAGGAGGCAACAAACATTATAACATGGCTTCAAACTCATAAGAGGTAATTTTGCGTAATATAGGATCTTTAAATACAGTCACATTGTTGCTAATACAATACATACATAAACTATACCTTGAAAAAACTGGCTCACTATTCAATACAATACATATTTCAAATCAATTTGATACGGTTCAATAAAAAACATAAAGGCTAAATCATGACTGTGATATTAAAGTCTTAATTAAACCATGTCTTGTGCAAAGTTCATATGAAACGCAAACATTTGAATCATCAAAACAGTGAAAATGTCAAAATGTGCAGCATATAAACGTTTCCTTCCACTAAACACGCAATGAAAATGTAGTTGTTACAAAATCATTTAGTAAAATATACCAAAAAATACTCTTGGCCATATATCGATACAGCAGCCCATGATATTGATACTGTATCATCAAATGATACCATATATCGAATATTTTTAATATTTTTGCACAACCCTAATCACATGCATACAAAGGAATGAGAAGGTGGAATAAACTACATTTTAAAATACTAAATAGAAAAGAAAAAAAAAAAGCAATAAAATTGAATACGGAAAAAAATATTATAATTGAGTAGTGAGTAGTGCAGTGATTAGAGCGCTCATTGACCATCCCCAAGATCGAAGGATCGATTTCTGCTTTGACCAGTTCAGACTGTTGTTGTGTCCTTAGACAAGACAATGCCCCAACCTTTCCTTGAAACAATGGTGTGTTTGTGTGTGCAAATGGTGGGATCAGTGATGGCGCAAATTGGCAGTCTCGCTTCATTCTGTTCGGTCTATGGAGCGACATCAAGCTGGGGGTGTTCTACATGTACAGTAGTAACCGTGGAGAGCAAACACTGCCAAAAACTTTTAAGTTATTCTGAAGAGTCAAGAAAAAATACAAAATGGATTTGAACAAGGAGTCTGTGATCGTTACAAGTGTTCATGGACCTGTTTATGGAATCTAAATGACATCAGCTGAAAAGTCTCAAAAAGCATCCTTTACAAATCAAATCAAATCAAATATGTTATTATCATAATTTTTAAGATGCAGTTACTTAAAAAGCTACTCAAGTAAAAGTATTCGTAGATATAGCAACTAATTCCCCAACTGTGCTAGCATAACAATGATCTATAGCTGAATAATAAAAAGCAAAGGGCAGGGGAGAAGTCAATGAGTGATAAAGCGTAAAACACAAAATGGAGTTTTAGCCGTGGAAAAATATGAAAGTGTTCTTCTCTGAGAAATCAATTTAGCCTCATCGATTAGACTCTTTTATTTCTGTGTAGTTTTTCAGTCAATGCCTTCCTCCCCTACAGAGAACAAGAATGTACTGTGGACCCAAAGGGATGTGATTATCCGTGTGGTCGCCGTGGTTACCGGTTAAAAAGGTGAATGGGAGAGTTATATGTCATGAATTGTAATGGGAATACATGCATGGGACCAAAGTACCTACAATTGTTCTAATTATACTCTAAAGAATTGGTTTGACTTTTGTAGTATTGATCTACTTTGTCCTCCTGTGTACTCCACCTGGGTATTATAGTTCACTTCACCTGCAGCCAATATGTTATACTAATACAAGTATGTTGGAGAGAATGAGGGATATTGACTGAGGGGAAACACGTTTGAAAGTTTTAAAGAGTTTTGCACTTCCTGGAATGTTTTACACTATGGAATGAAACTTAACCATCTCCATGAAGACAAGCAGGTCATGCTCCCAGGCCAAGGTATAGGCCAAATCTGTGGAGAGGCAAATTCGCTCACAGTAAGAATGCACGTTTTTCCAAGCTGTTTTTATTAGCAATTGATAGATAAATTTAATACCATAATGCGGAACTTTCCAAGGTTTCAAGATATTTAAATGACAACAAGAAAGTTACACAGTTAAATAAGGAACAGCCACCAAGTCAAGTCAAGTCTCACAGTCAGAGGCGGCGCTACCATTAGGGAAAAGTACGCAGCTGCTTAGGGCCCCCATACCTGAAGGGGCCCCCATCCAATTGGCCACAGTGCCACTAACGGCCAAAGATTTTCTTTCAATATGACATTAAATGAGAGTAGTTTATCTTTAAACAATAATCATAAGAAAAATAATAATCATCATATGTAATGGATGTCAACAAAAATGTAATTGTACCAGCAAATAAATACAATTACTTTCAGCTCTGGTTATCTACTACTACTACTACAAGTTTCCAAGTTTGTAGTAGTTTACAATGCACCATAGTTCAAATAAATAGGGACGTGCATGTCTCAAGAACAATGGGGAAAAACAGACAATAAATATAAAAAAAAACAAAAAAACAGTGAGGGCCCCCACACACAAGTTTGCTTAGGGCCCCCAAATTGCTAATGCCGCCACTGCTCACAATCCATACTGGTGCACACTTGAACCACAAGAGGCCAAGTCAGGTCCTAAGAAGACTGTATGTGTGGTTCAAATATATATTATTGCGACCACAGGAAAGGAAAGTCTAAAGGCAAGTTTTTAAATTGTAACTTCACAGAGTTATTGCTGCACATTGCAAAAGCCACAGAGAGAACAGTTTCCCTGGTGTGACTAAAAATGTCAGAAATCTTTCAATACATAATGATTTTCTCCGATTCTCCTGAGGGGAATAGACAGTTGTTAGTGTCTCAGAGATATACTGTCGAAGTTAATAATCTGAGTTATGAAAAGACATATGCTAAACAGACACATGACCTTGAGGAAAGTAATTCAACTAAATTCATTATGCCACAAGCAAATACGTTGTCATCAAATCAGATGAAATTATAATTAAGATTTTACAAGGGAATGAATAGCCAAGTTTTTAGTAGCATAGACGAATATAACTGGCCCGCTAGCCACTGCATTCCAAATCAGAAGTTAGAATGGCCATGAAAGGTTTTACAGTCCAATTCCAAATGACTATTGAACAATCTGAAACTGACAAATCAGACGGCTTCTTCCCCAAGAACGACTCTGGCTAGCAGAGCAACAGGTTTGATTGACAGCTATAGTGGACAGGGTTGGAAGGGACGAGTATCTTCAACAACCTCACTTCTAATTGGCTCTTTGATTGCACTCTTGGATTACCAACTATGGAGCTTGGCTGCAGATTAACCACTATAAAAGCTCTGATCATTTTGCTATAGGTGACACCGCACTGCCTTAGCCCACTCCTACAGTCTGTGGTCTTGTTGTAGGGGAGTACAAAAATACTGAAATATTGGTACATCGTCATAGTAAATTTTGTGATATAGTGTCGCTATCGTGAGCTGCTGTATTGATATATGATATTTTATAGTATATTTTGGCATCTTTTAGCAATTTTTAGCACTCCTACAGTTTTGTTGCTTATTTAGTGGAAGGAAGTAGAATGTTTATGCAATACACATTCACTGTTTCAATGATTCAAACTGATGTACTTCACATTAATTTTGCACAAGTAGTGGTTTAACAAAGAAATATCATATCATGAGCCATGTATTGAGTATCGTATAGAATCATGAGGGACTTTGTTGGTTTCTAGTCCGACTCTCTTGTAGGGGTGTCCAAAAATATTGAAATATATCAATATATCGTATTGTTTATGTGATGATACAGTATCAATAATGTGGGCTGCTGTATCAATATGTCAGCAAGAGTATTTTTTTGGTGTATTTTACTAAATTATTTGTTACAGCACTACAGTTTTGTTGCTTGTTCAAAGGAAGGAAACACATTTGACATTTTCACTGTTTTGAGGATTTAAATGTTTGTGTTTCACATGAACTTTGCACAAGAAGTGATTTAACAAAGACTTTTAGTATTAGTATTTTAGTTTTTTTTTTTATTGAACCGTATCGAATCGAATTGAAAGTGCACTGTATCGAGATGTTTATCGTATCGGCAACTTCTTAATGATACTCAGGCCTACTCTCTAGGGAAGCTAATAATATCTAATTACAGATACATAGGCGCAGTGCTTAGTTTGTATATGGGACTGTAATTGATGGGCATATGTCACTCACTATCCTCATGTTAAAAGAACATAATGACAATCAATATTAAGTGCCCGTCTCTAAAAATAGAAGAGCCTCATTGCTGTTTGTCACTTTAGCACCAAACACACAGTTGTGATGTTTTCTCATAAAACATTGAGTCTAAATATTATGACCGTCCCAGATGTGTTTAATGGGCACAGACTCATCACCATTCGGAGCTGTAAAAACACATTAAGGACCGCTGGGCTTCTCCACTCATCTCCACTCCCTCAAAGCAATATCTCTGTCCCGAATCCAAATTACAACTTAAAAAAAAGCCAAGGGGTGGAACAAATGATCTTCAAATATAGTCTTTGCCTGCTGCAGAGGACGTGAAAATGGCAAAGAAAAAGCATGGCA